TGCCAGAAATCTTGGGTATTTATTGGCTTATAGATGCATCACTACAATCTCTGCTTCTGTCATCACATGACATTCTCTCCTATGCTTCTGTCTGTGTCTCTTCTTATAACAGTAACAGTCTCGTTGGCTTAAGGGTCCATATTACTCTGTTATGACCTGATCTTAACTAATTGTATCAGAAATTGACCTGCTTCCAAATAATGACCTTCCAGAAAGACATGACATTTTGAAGGACGCTATCCAACCCAAAACAAGGATGAAAGAAGAAATCAATGGTGACTTTAAAGTTTTTAATTTTGATGACAGAGGAGTGTGGAGCTATGTATTGATGTGGAGAAGATTGAATAAAGATCATGCTGGGGACTGGATTCAGATTATGAGCTATGTTAGGCAATGTCAGGTATGAGATTTTTAGTTAGATGTGGAGATCAAGAAGGCAGTTGAGTGCATGAGTTTTGAGTTCACAAAAGAAATAAGTTTGGAGATACAGATTTGGAAGTCGTTAGCATAAGAATACACTTAAAGCCAGGGAACTTAACAGGATGAGCCAGGGTAAGGATAACCCCTAGAGTACTCCAACCTTTAAGGATTTGGAAAAGGATAAAATACAAGAAGGGAGACTGAGAAGTGGTAAGTGAGTTAAAGAAGAAACCAAGGGTTCAACACCTGCCTATAGTGTGAACATGCGGTGTTTGATTTTCCGTTCTGGGTGTGGAACAATGAGAACACAGGGACACAAGGAGGGGAGCATCACACACTGGGGTCTGTTGTGGGGGCCAAGGAAGGGACAGCGGTGGGGGGAGGTCACGGAGGGATAACATGGGGAGAAATGCCACATGTGGGTGACAGGGGGATGGAGGCAGCAAACCACATTGCCATGTGTGTACCTAATGCAACAATCCTGCATGATCTGCACATGTATCCCAGAACCTAAAGTACATTAAAAAAAAAAAAAAAAAGAAAGAAACCAAGGGTTTATTAGGTTAAGGATTTCAAATGAAGAAATGAATTATATTTCAAGGAAATAAACATGATAAATTCTACCAAATAACACTGAGAGATTGGGCTAAATGAACACAAATCAGCAATGTGAAAATTATTGATAAACTTGAAATGAAGTGGTTTCAGTGGGGGACAAAATTTTGATTGGAGTGGGTTAAAAATAGAATAAGATATGAGATATGGAAACAGCACTATGGATATTTTTGTATGACAATTGATATAAAGTTATCTAAATAATTGGAAGTGGGTTGGAGGTACAGTATTAAGGATGCAATTTTGTTCTTTAATGATGCAAGATATTATAGCATAAGCAGGTCTTCCATGATGCTTATGTTAATATAAGGCCAGGGAAACAATGGAAATATAAGAAAGATAGGATAATTGATAGACATCAGTCACTACATAAACTCAAGAAGATATAATTGAATGTATAAGGGGAGGAGTTGGTGTAGAAAAAAAGATAATCACAATAAACAATTACTTCACAGTTAGAATTAATGGCTGTCAGAGTTTCACATGCCAACTTTCTGGCTAACACCACATTACCCAGTTCATTTTGATTTGTTAGAATGCTTTGGTGCTCTGGTGTAAGCAATGTCAGCAATGTGGAGCAATAGCGATCATCTATCATGTAGTATACAGTACATTAACCATGTTTCTAATATGTGATCAAAACTTCAGTAAAATTCTTTGCACTGACTACTTTATCCACCTGGAATGAAAGCTCTTACAGCATTACATAGTCACCCTCTGGCAAGTTATGTTTCAGATTTCACATTTAAAACTTTTTTCCCAGGGTCGCCACAAAATTTAACATCTAATGCTGGATCATTTTGAAAGTGAAACGCATAGCTACAATAATGACACTGGAAAAATAGACATAAACCAAAACGTTCTATAGCAAATGGGGTATAAAACCATCCTTTTTATCTTCCACTTTTTCGTATCTTTTAATATTCATTTCAAAACGTTCTAATTTCAAAGCATTCTTCCAAGATTATTTTGAACATTAATAACAACTCAAAGTTAACATTAAAGAGACCAACTTGGTTAGAAAAAAAAAGACAGAACAACTTAAATATGCTTCAGGATAATTTATTGAAATGACTGGAAAGGAAATAGACCCTTAAAGAAATAATAATAAGCACAACCCACAGAAACAATTTTTATGCATATTTTGATATGTTTGTAGCATTTCCTAATGAATACTGAACTTCTGTGGTACTAGTTGAATTAATATTCGGAAAATGTAAGCAGTTCATGAGTCAAAATGCAAATTAAATGAATGACATATAATATATTAAATAAATAAAGAAATAAAGCTCCATTTTTTCATGTAAATTCATTCAAACATACTTAATTTGGGATAATATAATACAAAGATGGAAAAGACGTCACATTTCCAGTCTCAGTCAATTCTGTGAAGTAGAGAGCAAATATATGATTAGTTGTGTTATAATATGTGACTATTCATCTATCTTCCTTTTTAACTTTGGTGTGACTAATTCACAAAAGAAATTTTATTACAAATGTATTTTGTTGTAGTCTGGAGGCATATAAAGATTGTATATAGCTAAATGTTAGCTAACATGAAATTGTTTCTGTAAAATTTCTATTCTTTCATAATCACAAAAGTCTTTGTATCTTAACATTGCAATGCTATCCTCTCCTCTTTTTAACCTTTACACTTTGAGTAATTTTGACTCATGAATTAAACGACAATTTTAAGTAACTACAAAGCTTATGAAGGCGAGGTTAGGAATAAAAATGCAAGTAGGTTTTTGACAAAAATGCAAATGAATTTCCATAAAAATAAATTAAGACACATATTCTGTTTTTCCTAAAAATAATGATAATCAAATGTAAGTATACAGGCCCTTGAAAGCAAGCCAGTCAAGTCTGTCAGGTGTACATAAATAAAATTAAAGTTATTTGAAATGCAAAAGATAATTTCAGTTCAGTAAGTGATAGTCAACCATTGAAAATAAGGTGATAATTAATTTAAAAAATTTCTTGCATGTATGGAATTTTCACTACCTTGGACTTCTCTAGGATAACTAAATGTAAAACGACATCATGTGTAAAAATGATCAATTTAATCTCCAAACTCCCAAAACTTACCAAAATGAGGAGGGAACATTAACTTTGAAATCCTCTTAGACCTTAAAAAAATAAACAAATACAAATATATCAATAATTGACCTCTTGGTAAGGAAACTTGCTTAAGAATGTTGTAAGTAGAGAAATAAGCATCTCAATCTTTTGACTTTATATATATTTATAGCAAAAGCAAAATGTGAAGTAGAGCATGTGTGAAACAGATGTGCACAAGGGAAATGATAGAACTTTTTTTAGCATTTTTGTTCCCAATTCAATAATATTATTAAATTTAATTCCAGCTTTTGTAAGCCTTAATTACTTTATCTAAATGAGAATTCTCAACAGATTAATTAAATCAGAATTCATCCAATAGTGTTTTTTTGTTTTGTTTTGTTTTGTTTTCCCCAACACTCAGTTTCCTCTACACAGAAAACCAGAACAATTATATCAGAATCTCTTGGTAGGCATAGGCACTGGGATTTGCAACGGAATATTTCTCCAGGAGGTTCTATTGTATAGGTAGGCATTAAGGATCACTTAACTATACTTTTTTTAAAAAATTCATTTACTGTACATTTATTCTTTCATTCTACCATCACATACACATCTCAAACGAAACAGCAAAGTCAGTAAATTTGGACTTACACTAATGGGCTTCTGAACTGGGGCAAATGGCTGAGACACAGGGTAGATCTGGTGGGTGGGGTCAAGTAAAAGTTCTTGATTGACCAAAAAGGCTGCAGCAGGCACATCTCTCTGAGGGTAGGGCACCACTTGCTGAGGGATGGGCTGGACTTTGGGCTGAGAAACAGACCACAGGGGCTGAGGAGGAAGCACAGGAGTCTGAGGAGGAAGTGCAAGAGTTTGAGGAATAGGCTGAGGGACCTGGTGCATCATGGGCTGGAACAGAGGCAGAGGAAGATGCAGATTTTCAAGAGCAGTGAGTTTCAGGAGTTGAGGGTGAAAAACGGGCATCGTTGGAGATTTAAGGATGGGCATCACTTTGTTCTTAGTATAGACAGTGTCTTTAGCTTTAGAGACTTCCATTATTTCAGGCTGAGGGACAGGTAGCACCACAGCAGGCTGAGCAAGAGGCAGAATGCTTTGTGGAAAGAAAGGGTAGGGGATAGGCTCAACGAATGGATAGATTAGAGGCTGTGGCTGGAAAGAGGACTGGATTTTATCTTGGTGTTCATCCTGGAAAGAAGGAAAAAGAATCGTTCAGGTCCTTGATTCAGCTATAATTACCATTCATAATGAACTGATTTCTCTCTTTAGACAGTGATAAGTGAGTGAAAAGAGAGGAAGAAAATCTTTCACTTATTTTGATTAAGAAATTATCTTGAGTCATGTGAAGAAAAATGAATAAAATGTTTGTTAAAAGATTTTAATCCACTCACTTTATGAGTAACT